TTTTTTTTTTTTTCGTTTCTTTACAAAGACACACATATATGTTCGATTCATTCGTTCACCCTCAGGTGAAAGAAAGAAGAGAGTGAGAGAAAGAGGGAGAAAGAGAGAGGGGGAGAAAAAAGGGTCGCACCTTTGCCACTACGGCAATTAAATTCATGCATATTTTATATCCTCCCTATTTCTTCTATTCTTCGCTTCAATAATTTTCTCTTTCTCTGTCTTCTCTTCCCACTAAGTGGCCCAGACATTGAATATATACTAAAGAGATTTAAAAAGAAAATATTTACAATCAGAAAATAAATTTCAAATTTTCTTTTATTCACATTCAATTTCATTTCTATGTTTTACCAACGCAAAAAAAAAAGATTTTAATCGAACTACGAACAAAAGGTTTCAACGACTTTTTAACATTGACAAAAAACGAAATAATATAGAAAAGTAAAATTTATTAAAACATTATGTATTTTTTTTTCTCTTCTACTTTCATCTTTTTTGATTGAATAAAAGACTTATGGATATGTATGTTTGTCTATACTCGAATTTCATAATGCATTGAGTAGAATAAAAAATATATGATTTGACAATTTTCTTTCAGATATAATCATTTGTACAAAAACACATAAAATAATAGATTGAATGAGAATGTATAAATAAAATGTTGAATAAAGAAATATCCTATGTGCAGTTCATTGTCAACGAAAATGAATAATTATTTAATTAAAAATTATTCTTTTATTTTAAAGTTCAAAGAATATATTCTAATCAAATTTTCTTTCAGTCATTATTGACGACAATTCTGTTGAATCTATCTATACTAATGACAAGAACAATATTTAAACTTTAATAAATTCCTCATTTATGCTTGAAAAAGTCAGATTAAAACGATTTAGTTTTACTAATAATTCGAGATTGCGTATACATTATATCAATATAGTCTATCATGAATAGAATTATGTTTACTGCCAATAACAAAAGTTTTATGATATTACGGATTGATTTGACATACTATTTCGTGACATGATTTGAATACATTTTTTTTCTTTTCAAAAAAAACTACGCAGCATCTATAATCATTATATATATCTCAAGAAATAACGAGGCGACCTTTTTGAAGAATAAAAATCATATGGTAATGCAAATATGTTGATACGAAATTATATACTTCCTAATTTGCTTTATGAAAATAACCAATATTTCAGATTTTTACTCCAAAATAGTTGGGTATTATTTATGAATTTTGTTTAGCCTATTTTGATATCGTAAGATGGAATCAGTTCTACTTATTATGAATTATTCGTTTTTAAGACTCGTCTTGTTAGATAAATTGTTTTATGAAACATCTCACTGAATAATTATTTGTAATTGTGTCTTCTTGTTGGACACTAGAAAATATATGAAGTTACCTAATATTTTTTGTTGTCTACCAGATACTGGTTAATGTGATTCCGTTTTCAAAGATCCGGCGAATTATCGATGGCACATTGAAAATTCTTAGTTTATGTTTAGATGTGACAATGAAATGTACTCACTATTAAATAAAGAATAGCTTGTCTTTGATTTACATGATACACATCGAACTAATGAATACTTTATGTCTTTCTATTCAACTAACAACTTAGATTATTGAATATAGAAAAATTGTATTGATCCATATGAAATCGTTCCTATCTAATTTTCTCATTTAAAATGATGTTTTACGAGAAAAACTGTACGTATATGCATACACACACACAAATAATAAAACACAAAATGAATTCAATCAAATACACACAATGATACAAAAAAAGAAATATTAAACAAATTGTTTATAATTACTGTTCCATATCGAATCTATTCATGAGATTTATGAAGATATTGTTATTGTTTCATATAAATTTCGTAGAATTAATTCAATCGAACAGTAGCCAAGAATATTTTTAAAGAAAAGATTTTGAATTTCTGGTGAAGAAATTGTACGTAAATTTGACAAGAGACTTTTTAATTGTTCAAAACGTTGAGGTTGAAGTGGATAAGTACGACGAACATGCATTTCTAATGCCATTAAATGATCATCAAGCAAACTATGTCCATTCAAATTATGATTTGAATCAACTAAAATAGAAATATTAGATTAAATTAATAAATTTATTACTTTACCCCATCGACAAAATAATAAAAGTTTTAAATGAAAATATTCTACATAATCGATATTCATTTGTTGAATTCGATTAGAAATATCTTGCATTAAATATAAATTTTTTATTCCATTTCCATTCGATCGATCCGCTAATAAAATAGTAAAAATTATTTTTTATTGGAAAAAAAAACAAATGATGAAATTTTACCTGCATGGCTTAAATTCATCCATGGGACGTCAAATTTATATTCACATAAAGACAAAAGAAATATTTCATGCCAGCAATGAAGAAGACTAGCAATCTTAATTAATTAGATAGTTAGATATGTATATTTAGAAAATTAATTAAATATTAACCTGATCTTTAACATTAATCATTTGAAATTCTTTGATTGAACGTAACCAATGTACCATATAGAAAAGTATACGAGCAGCCATTTCATAGACATATAAATCAAGTTTAAATACTGGATTTGATTGAAATTGATTATTAGATAAAGGAATTTGAATTGCTGGAGGAACATAAGAAGGCTAAAGTTATATGGAATTATAAATATATTCATTGAAACTTAGAATTCGAATTTTTTACTTCTGGTTTAATACCAAATGAGCCCGTTATATGCATATGTCGATCAGGAAATGGTTGACGTGGTCCTCGTTCATTTTGAACAGCTAAATAAATTTTAAAAAGAAAATATTAATTTATCTCTTGAGTCAAAATAAACGATACACTTTATTTTTCTGTTGTTCTCTTCAAATTTATATTCCGTGAGATTCATATCAACAAATAGTCGATAAAATAAAGTGTATTGTTTATTTGTATCAGGAAAATATTAAAATCTTACCATCTTTATTCATTCCTGAATCAAGACATCGTCCTATATAAATATGTTAAAAAAAATGTGTATCATAAGAGAGAAAATAATAAATACGAACGGTAACGACATGCTCGACATTGATTCCGTCTATATTTATCCACAACACATTTATTTCGATTTTTACAATGATAAACACGATTACGTCGTACTGATCGTTTGAAAAAACCAGCACAACTAAAGTCAAAAAAAATTATTTTCTTCTTCACTTTTAAAAAACCCACTCTAATCTATTAACCCTAAAACGTCAAGAAAAACCTTTTACTGATTGAAATCATTTTTAATATTATAAAGTTTTCTTTCTTTTTTTTTGAACCAATCGTAACTCTTATAATAGAGTAGGAACTGTATATATTTCAAGAATCGAGTCAGTCATTGTGCGACACACTTCTTGTGAATCTCGATAAGTGCTTACTCCTAATGTATTAACAAGACGTGTGTGTGTATATACATACATATATATGTATATCGTTATTCAAAAGACAAGAAGGTGAGAATGTCTCCAAGCCATTTCATGTACTCTCAACATATCGATGTTTAACAACATCATCTTACAAGAACAACATTACTAACCTATTCAATGTAAAAAGGCAATAGAACACTTATTTCACATACCCATCACACGCATATACACTATAATGTTTTCCAGATGAATTGTCATGACAAACTGAACATGGAACATTATACAATATACGACCTATTGAAATAAAAAGGAAAGAATGAAATTAAAAGTAGAAAATTCTAGTTTTACAAAATACCTCCACTCATAATGCCAAATGAATTTTAGAATAATATTGTATGTGATAAAATGACTTTCGACTAAAAGTTGTGTGCTCTTTTTCTGCTCTGCTTTCACCTACTATTATATTATACTTTAATAACAACACCAACTTCGATTCGATTTCAAGTGGCAGTATGTTTGATAAAATAACCAATAGGAAAGCGATGCGCAAACTATAAGAAGGATTCAATCAGGCAAAAAGGTAAATATGAGAAAAAAGTGAAGGAGAGAGAGAGAGAAAAGAGAGAGACATAACGAATGCCATTCTGCAACGAATTGTTTCATGTAAATTGCGACGAAAGACGAAGTAAAGAAAACATAAACAAGTTGAAGCTTTTTTTTTCATCTTTGATTTTTGTACGTTACTTATACATCAAGAATATTTGATGACTTCATCAATATGATGATCTTCGATTTTTTGATGTATTGATCGAAAAATTGAAATTAACAATAATATGTTCCATATATATATAAACTATTGTTCAATAAGATGAATTCTAATAAATGAAGAAGAATAACAACAAAAATATATTTAGTCTTTGAACAATTAATTTTATTCAATTTTTTTAAATCTAATTATGATAAATCACTGCATTGATCAGAAAATACGTTAATTACATACATTAGAATAACTAACTAAATATTTTGTCCTGTATAAAAAATATTAATTTTTACTAATTTTTAATAAAAAACGAAATCTATGCATTCATTTGCATATAATTCTTACTTTGACCGAAATAATATATAGTCCACGTCGACCCTAAAGTCTGACATTCTATTCAAATTTATAATCTATATTAAGGCATTGAAAATTTATTTTTTAATGAATAAATAAAATAAAAGTAAGACATATTATACTGTTTTTTTTCGTGATATGCATCTTCTGACATTGACATTCAGTACGAATAATAATCACACATAGTTTTCCTGTATCTTACATCTTATGATGTACAAATCAATCAATGTTCATACATGCTTAAATAATTTCATATGTAAAGAACTGCCACGAGATATAAAGAAGTATGCTATATTTTATAATACGGTTGATGAAACTTTTGCTTTATTATCTGAGAAACGAGATAGGAATTTTATATCGATCTGCTAAGTCAAAAAAGCAATTCGCCAATATGCTAATTGTTGTATTATATCAATAGAGTCTGCAACAAAAAAAATAATAAGACGCGTGTCGATACGTTGATAGCATTTGTAAGATTTTCTTCGTTATATGTATTATTGTTTGTACCGATAGTGTCAATCTATTGAGTGCTACTTTTATTCTGTAATCAACACATTTCATGCGACAAAACAAATAAAAAGAAAGAACGAAAGAAAGGAGCATACAAGACAATCGTTTGCTTAAAGTGAAATTTGACCGAACGATTGTTTGTTACAACAACAATAATAATAATAACGAGTAGAATGGACTAAAAACTTTAGCAAAAGTAGCGATAAATATCTACCAGAAATATTCTGATATTCATATATACGAATGATAATTTGTGAGATTTATTTTATAATGATTAAATGGACAGTAATTATATAAGTATTTCATTCTATCGAATCGTTAAATCATACATTTTTCAAGAATCAGAACTTATCTGGTCCTGCCGTCGGCTTTGGTATTGAATTGATTAATATAAGTGAGAAATAGGAAAATATCAGATCAGATCCCGATATATTTTCATAATTTAGTCTTTTCACTTCGGACTTAAGTTGTGTAAATGTGAACCCTCTGACTTTCAACTTCAGAGTATGATTTGCAATTCAATATTACTTTTAAATCAACATGTCTATTGTTTTATGACTAGATGAACTTCTAGTCTAAAATATATTCTCAAGTTTTAAAAATGAGAAAGTAATTTTGTACGAAAATATCACAAGATTTTATGCTCTTGTTTACAGTCAACGTGAAGATTTCGAAAGAAAGCAAAAACAAACAGTTTAGAAACAAAAATTCTTTGTTTTTGTGTATTATAGACACATTTACTATAGTAAATATAGATGAATCATAAAAACAATTCATATATTTGAAACAGAATAAACAATAAAATAAATCATCTACTAAACTTTTTTATTACCTAAAAATATTGAAAAAGAGAAACTATCGATAGTTGTTTCAATGAAATATATTAATTTAAAAATAAAATCAGTCATCATCAAAACTATTGAATTATGCTATAATATTTTTCACACAAAATTTAACTAAAATTTCACATTACTGACACCTATCAGCTAACTGTATTATGTTCTGCTGATAATTTTATATTAACTAATATTCAACATCCATTGACGGTTAAGAATCAAGTAACGGATTTATATAGTGAAAATCTGAGTCATTTATATTGATCCGACAGTATTTTTCTAAGCTGAGTAGATTACTACATCATCACTCACGATCATTATCTGATGCTATAATTAGTAAAAATAACTACTATATACATGTAGAATAAATCTACTCTCTGCTACAGAAGATTTTCTATAATCATGATAGGACAGAGTATGATTGATTTCTTGATTGAAAGTTCTTCTTAAATCAGATCCTATGAACTTGAAAAGATACATTCAATACACATGACTAGACTAGTGACAATCAGATGGCTCACAATTGTGTCAAGTTCTAATTGATTAATTATTCTTTTCATTAATAGAAACTATCAATGCTAACATTTATCGTAAAAAATGTCGTATAATATCTATACGAAAACTACCAAATAAATTTTGTCAATCAAATAAAAACTTTCATTGACAATCGATCAAATACTTTTTTTTTATACAAAAACTCACACTTTCTGACAATTATATAGAACAGATTTTTTTTTGTTATATAATGTAGACAATTTGTAGAACAGAGAAAAGAAGAAGAAAAAAAAGATAGAAAGAAAATTAACATCTAACAACAACGTTATAATAAACAAATGAATTGCAAGAAGAAGAAGAAGAAGAAGAAAATTAGAAAAGAAATGTTATCAAGACTAGACAAAAAGAACAGAAACAAATAGGAGATTATTTATATAATATATGTTCTATGCAAATGGAGGTAATGCTGTACCGGATTGTTGATGATGTACAACAGATGATGTATCCGAATTAAAATAATATGAATCAAATGATACTGGTGGACGTTCATAGGATGTTGGAGGAATATAATTTGTTTTAATATTATTTCCAACTCCATTTGGATAATAATTTGATGAATTGAATGGTGATGTTGGTGATTGTTTTATACAATAATTTGCTGTCATATCATACATATCGGCTGGTGTAGCTGTATTATAATCAATTTGTTGTTGAAATGCTTTTGAATAATTTGATGGTGATGGTGTTGAAAATGTAACAGACATTGATGGTGGTTGTTGTTGTTGATAGTATCCATGATGTTGAGGATGATGATGATGATATGAACGAAGAGCTAACGATGAATTTAATTCATCTTTTTCTGTTGTTGATGAAGCCAATGGAGAATTATTTAAACCAATAACACAACCATTATTATATGATGTTCGACTTTTTCCATCTTTTTTATCTTTCATTCGACTAGAAAAATAACAGAGAGAATAAAAATATAAGAAAAAAAATAAATTTTCACATACCGATTTTGAAACCATATCTATAACACACAAGAAAAAAGAAATATTAATTTATAAGTTACGAAAGAAAAGAATTTATTTACCTTGATCTATTAATGATGAATTGATATATTAAAAATAAATTAGAAAAAAAATATTCTTTAGGCATTTTTTAGAAACTTTACCTGTCGTTCTGTTAAACTCAGTGCTTGTGCTAATTCGATTCGTCGTGGACGATTTAAATATTTATTATAGAGAAATTCTTTTTCAAGTTCAACTAATTGAGCACTTGTATAAGCAGTTCGAGCTCGTTTTGATGGTGTTGAATTGCTTTTATCTATGACAAAGAAAAAAAAAGAAAACCTATCTTAACTATTGATCAATACATAAGAAAAGAAGAAGAAGAAGAAAAAAAACCTTTTGCAATGACAAGATTCAATGTTCTGTATCCTATTCGCTCGATGAGAAAGCGGCGGTATTGGATGAATAATGATATGGTCATTTATCATCGTCAATAGTAAGAGATGCGGACGGGCGCGCGCGCGCGCCTGTCAGTAAACGAAGATGAAAAACATGTATAAGTCGAGACAAACAAGCGGTTAGATCTATTCTCAATAATGAGAAGAGTTACATTTATGTTTTCTCTTAATCAAAAAAAAATACATGTATGAATTCTATTGAGATTTGTAAAAAAAAAAGAAAAAATGAATGACACGCGAACAAAACTAATATCATCACCTAATGTCAACTGGATAAATTAAATCATATATTTATGCGTGTCGAATAGCGAAGACACCTTGCTAGGTCCATGAATTTTTCTCACTTATTATTTCTTAAAAAATCGTTGACCCTTGAAGATTTAACACTATTCTTCATTCTCATCTTTACACTTAATGAAATTTTACATTTTGTTTTCTATTTAAATGTCTTACCAGATGATGAAGAAGAAGATGATGTTGATGTCGTATTATGTCCTGCTTGATTTTTTGAATTAGTCTTACTTTTATTTATTCCATGTTTTTTATCACTCATCCATGGATAGATTTCTTTATGTTGAGGTATGATTGTTGAAGTAAATTCCGTTGGTGATGATGAAGAATTTTTATTTGATGTTGAACGAGATTTTTGTGTTGATGTAGGAACAGTTTGTGATGTTGTACCTGATGGTAATGGACTTATTTTTGATTCATTTGTTGTTTGAGATGTTCCATTACAATTAATTCGATTTGTATTATTAATAATTAAATTGACATTTGTATAAGAACTTGCTGGGACATTCATATAATAGTCAAGCTGTTGTTGTTGTTGATGATGATGATGTGTATCCCATAGCATCGATTGCAGTTGGTGTTCGTTTTTAACCATGATTTTAAACGAGATCAAGAAGGAAAGAAAAATCCAAAATATAGATAAAGATATTCTTATTTTATTTATAAATATAAATAGTATCAATTAGAAATTTGACAAATAACTTGTCGCAAGTAATTGAAATAATAGTAATTTAAGTGTATGTATCGAAATTTTGTTAATGGAATGTAATGTCGGCAATTAATTATGAATAGGAGAAGAAACGATTTTTTTTTCTTTTACAATGAAAAGAATATATTCTATATTATGGACGAGTAGTTGCCTTTTTTTTTTCTCTCTCTCATATTTATGTACACAATCGAATCTTATTCGATAAAAAAAGAATATCTATGATAGCCAATCAAATGTAAGAGAACAATAAAAGAAAGAAAAAAGAAAAGTGATAACTAGTGTTCTTTTTTTCCCTCTCATTTTCTTTTTTAATGAATATTGAAGTTCCTATAGATCTTTGACATTGTATCGATAAAAAAAAATATATTAACAGATATTTTAAAAACCAATAAATCGGGTTTCTATTTCTTTTCGTCTACCTTGCTTTCATGGCCTATGAGTAATGTTGCTTGACGAGGAGGGTGTTTCTAACTTGCCAGATTTGATTTATGGCATTTAAAAGCATATTTCTTTTTCGTATATTACCTGTTCGAAAAGGAGAGAGGGAGATATAATTACCTTATTTCGTTTACACCAACCAAAGGCTACGCATGATCAAAATGCATTTATTATCGTTGACAGAAGTTATTATTGCTTTTTTTTCTTTCTTGATATCATACTGTGCACATCTATATATATATATATGTATATGTATGAAGAAAAAAAATATACATATATGAAAACTAAAAAGTAAACGCCTACAATATATGTTGATGTGCATTCTTGCAAAGAGATGTGTTCATATTTTATTGTAATGCAAATTAATTACAACAATTGAGTTTATTGAATTGTTTAGTATTTGATCTTTTTCTTCACACAATTTGAGAAGGATATTGAAGAAAAAAAATGGTCTTTTCTTGCATTTTTATATTGGTTAATATAATGATGACAAGACGGAAGTGATGAAAGATTTTGATAGACGCACATAGACAGATATTCTGAGCAAGAACAAGGTGGTACACATTATTCATTTGTCAAAAGAAGATGAATGATAGTAAGCTTGTTAGAGATAAATCAGATAAAAAAAGATTTTCTGTGTCTTACTATGCATGATTTCTTTCTTTGTTTATTCAGATTTGCTAGTTTTTTTTGTGTGTTAGTTCGGATATCCGGATGATGTCATTTGCAATCAAGTGAAAACGCTTGAGAGAAATATCCATGGTTAGATTAAAGAGAGAAATAAGATTGACTTTTCCTCTATTAAAATTCGAGTGAAAAGATACTTGAAGGTAAAATCAAACTTTGAGATTTTCTTTTTTATATTTAATAAAAAGAAGAAAATGAATCGATCATAGAATGTCTAGTCTAGTAAATATGAAACTACAAAACAATGCTCTCTTTACAAGAGTGATCGAGCGGCACATAAATATAGCAAAAGAATCTTGCAATATTTGCTCGTTGAATATTACTGTTCTTCTTAATAGTGGCGGCATAGGGGTCCCGCCTTTGCTCAATGAGCCATACAATGTTGTGAAGTCAACTTTTTTTATCGAACAAATAATAACACCTGAAGAAGAGAAAGATCACATCTTGTCTGTAAGTAGATACATACTTGACTCACTTTCTCTCTTTTCTGACAATTGCAAGCGGCGTAATGTTGACGTAACACAATTATATAGAGAGACATATATCCACACATCCCGCTAAGAACAAGATCATGTACGAAATGCCGACTGTCAATCGATCACCAACGAAAAAAAAATCAAAATAGCCAACAGGCAATTATTTGATCTCTCTGAGTAACTGATCGAATCGAAAGATTTTCTTTTTTTCGTAAATTTTTTTTAACTTATAATCATCAATATCTTTAACACATACAATATTTCGACGATCATACACGATTTTGTCGGCATTGAATCTTGTAAAATTAAATTAAATCAAATTAACATTATATTCTTTTAAAATAATAAATGTGTTATTTCGAGTCAATTGAGTGTAAGATTGAACAAGGTGTGTGTATGTGTATGTGTATGCTTCTGTGCATCTGGTTGTCGGTCGACAGTCAAGAATAGACAAAATGAAAAATGATCTTTTAATGAGGCAAACATACAATTCTATAATTCTTATTTCCAATGAGTTAAGAAAGAGAAAAAAAAA